GGAGGGAGGTGCAGGGAAGGGGTTGGGGAGGGAGGGAGGTTGGCTGGCTCTGAGGGTGAAGAGAATGTCTTTTCTAGTAGGGCAGGAGTTTGCAACTGCAGTGTGTGACCCGCCGCAGTTAGAACATTTAAGGGGGAGGTTGCAAGTGTTCCAGAAGTGGCCAGTTGCTGAACATCTGGAGCAGGTTTGTGTGAAAGTGCATGCGATTTTGTCGTGGCCTAATTTGTAGCATTTCAGACATTGTGTGATGGGGTGGAAGTTCGGATGAAGAGAGAGTTAGGAGGAATGCAGATGGTCTTGGCAAGGATTCCTTGATTGAAGAGTGTAGAGGCGTCAGGAGTTGAACAGCGTATTTTGAGGATGGTAGAGTTTTCAGGTCTGTAAATATCGTCAACAGAGACTTTGTTCTTAGTACTAATGTCTTTGATTAAGTCTTCTTTGTCTGTGCCATAGGCAGTCAGGAGAGAATAGTCTACGTGTTTTGCGATCACTGTGCATTTTGCGCGGTGCTCAGGAGTCCAAATAATGGTGAAGCCTGCGTTGAGAAGTTTTTGTCTGGTCTCGGTTGAGGTGTACGTTTCGTAAGAATGTCTGTCAAGAAGTAGTTTGAAGCCTGAGTTGGTTTTAAAGACTTTCAGTTGAGGAGCGCCAGTGATCTGGTGCAATAAATTTCCAGGACAGATAGTGGCATGATCAGATTTAGAGTATTTGAGGTTAAGCGAGAAAGAACTGGGTTTGGAAGAGGTAGAGGCAGGGTAGGCCTTAGAGGCAGGAGTAGACAGAGTAGAGGCAGGTGTTGGCAGTAGAGGAGGAGTGGTAAGGGGGAATGAAGCGGAAGGCATTGAAGGCATCGTAAATTAGATGTGGCGGCCAAATCTGTGAGAATAATTGGTTAGGCAAGTACGTGTGAAGTAGACACACGTACTTGCCTGGCTATAACTTTAGAAAGCTCCTAGTGCCAAGCCTTTGGTAAAGAAGTTTCTTGTGGAGTCCGTCTCTGGAGGCACAGGACACTGAGGAGGTGAGCTGTAGCTTGATGGAGCACTGTATGCCCTGAACGGTGAGGAGAGGCAACACTGGCTGTATGGCGTGCAGATCACACGTACTGGCTGAGGCGTGGAGACTTCAGACAGCAACAGGAGTGCAGAGGGAGGCTTCCTGCCCTTGGTTAGGCAGCCACCGACGCACCAATCCTGATGGTGAAGACGAAGGTCCAGTAACCACCACCCGGTGAGGAGAGCAACTCTGACTGTGAGCGATGAGGAGAGCCAACACTAGCTGTATGGCGTGCAGACTTCACATACAGGCTGAGGCGTGGAGACTTCAGACAACGGCGAGGAGAGGCAACACTGGCTGAATAGCGTACTGACAGTCGACGAACGCTGACTGTATCCAACAGCAAAGAGCTAGTGTATACAGCCTGTACTGTCTGCACAGACAGCCTATGCTGTCTGCCAGCTTAGTTCATATTTCGCGGCACTCAGGTGCTGCCCTCTAGGCCTGCCCAGGTCAGTGGGACGCTGGTCCCACTCGCTCGCACTCACTCAGCGGCCTAGACTCAGAGAACAAGCCTACTCCCTCTCTCGTGTGCATGGCCCTCTCGGGCCATGGGCACAAACAAGCCTGTGTACCCACCACGACTTTGCAAATAAAGTAAGAAGCCTCCAAAGACATTTATCATTGAACCCCGCTCCGCTGCAGCAATACCAAATACTCTCGTTCACACTAGTCTTCAATAAATCGCATTACAACCTGACGAACAGAAATGTTATTTTTTTAACCAGGGGAAGAGCTAAATCCATAGGTGTCATTAGCGCCTGAGGAATAAGACATTCTGATTCGATCCAAGGAAGGGGAGGATAAACCAAGTTTCTTGAATCAATAAAATGAAAATTTTGTGGTTCTGGATCAGATTTTTTTCAGAACAGCTCTTAATGACCGTTTTATGTAGATTCCGATAGTAGGCTTTTCATTACACTAAATGAAGAAAGTCTATACAAGTGTACGGGTTCAGCATTTTCCGTGAATATTAGTAATATACCTCATTTGTAGCATTTAGGTTCCTCCAATTAAAATTTAAACACCGTAATAATAAAGTTTGCTGTAGCAACTCCGGAAAAGACTGTGTAAAGTGTGAGGAGAGTAGACTAAAAACTTCGGCATTATCTTTTCTCTAAGGAAGGACCTGTGTCATGACAGCACTCTTAGCTAGGAAAAAATGCAAAATATGCATAAGCGCACCGAAATTTAAAATATGTAAAGAATAAAATCTATTAGCATGAACAAATATACAACATATAGAACGTAGGCGAGAAAGATACGATAATCTAGACCTGGAAGATTCTGGAGGGATTGATCCCAAATCTGCGCACTGAAATTACTACGTATGCAGATAAATAACTTAGTAGCAGTACAACATATCTCTGGTGAAAAGCTGAGGAGCGATTATACAGAAAATAAGTGCAAAGGGACCACGGCTCTTCAATTCCCTCCCTTCATGCATAAAGCTGATAGCCAAAAGACCCCTGGATGTTTTCAAGAGGAAACCTGACAAATTCCTCAAATCAGTTCCTGATCAAGGTCACAACAGCTTGATCGATCAGGCAAGCAACCATAAGGTCTGGTCTGGGTCCGGGCGTGGGAGCATCAGTTAAAAATCTTACTTTTTAATATCAGAAGGCTGTAAGAATATATAATTACAACTAGCACTTATAAAGAATCTAAGAATGTTGCAACTATGTTCATACCATTGAAAATATATCCAGGACTTGCTGAAATTAAATGCATATGGTTTGCTAAAGCAATAATACCAGAATGCTGAAACACCCATGAATAGCGTTAATATGCTGGATCAACAATTTAGGCTGTAATGTACAATCTTCATGGCCGTATGGTCACCAATTGAATTCTTTGGGTTATTAACCCAGGATAAAACAAGCAAGCGGAGCAATGCGGCATAATAGAGGCTCTCTCTGCATTGCAACCCACTATTGTAAATAATCTCAATGTACTGTTTGCAAAGACATAAATAAATGGTCGTACCAAGTTACCTCGATGAATAAACGTTACTGGAAGAAATCACTGTTAATAATTGGCCGAAGAAACTTGGGAAGATGTGTCGGTCCGTGGTCCATTCTCAGCAGCAACATCAGTATTTTTCACTTTAGCTGAAAATTTCGAATGTGTGACTAGTCCGTCCTCGACCATTATAGTCAACTTTATAATAGTTGCAAATGGTATGGTCCTGAACTGTACACAGTGTGATGAATGGTTTTGAAAAACCGACAAGTTGAAGATTGTACACAGTGTGTCTTTATCCAAGATTTAATAATAGTTCAAGACGGAACGAAACGTTTCAAGTTCCCTCTCTAAATTGTGAATTAAAAATAAATCCAGTTACGTATTTACTGCTAGATAAATATGGGTAGCAGATGTAAGGAGACATTATTTCGTCTCGACCCACCAGGAAATCGAACCCACGTCCTTTCGGGTGTGAGCCGTACATCACACAAGGTTAAATTTTAAAATACAAAATAATTCAAATTTACGTTAATTGGCCTCTTTGACTATTATTATAAAAGAACGCATTTCAAGCTTTTCGGAGTACAACTAAAATAAACAATATCGTAAAGAAAACTCGTGTTCCGCATGTATGTAGGTTATGGACGGGATGCATCTTTCTAGGTAGTAAGTGATAGCGTTAGCTAGTTCAGTCGGAGGAGCAGCTGCTAAATTTCGTTAAGACCTTTTAGCTGATGGAAGATACAGGTTTCTTTTCTTCGGATGGGGGGGGGGGCCAAGGCTCCCGTTTAGGTACTAAGGGAACAAAACAATATGCCAATGAAATTATTTGTTTAAAAGCAAGGAAATTGTTACATTATTTTAAATTTCTAAAAGAGCGCTAAGCACAAGGGCTATATAGCGCTGCAATTAGTTTACAAAGAAATAAAAAAGCTTTTCGGGGTTCCAGCAGCATTATTTTTATAATCAAAGGGGAAAGCGTTTAAACCGGGGATTATCAGCGCTGGGGGGGATGTGGGAAGCATTCAGGCTTAATTGGGGAATGGAGCATCAGTTCATTCCCTAAATCAAGAGCCCCTCACACAGGAACCTTCTTGGGGGTTAGCGCAAGATGAGGGTGTGACTGTTATGCTCATGGGATGCGCAAACGCTAATATAAGGTTTAAGGCTTTGGAAAGAATGGAGGTGTTATTTTTAATCAGATTTAACGGTAACAAGACAATTAGCGTTCGGATTTCAGCGGGAAGACGTGGGGAGGGTTGGACAATTAGTTCATTTAATTTTTAAAATCAATATTTTTGCAATCACTTCTGTATTTTTTTTTTTTCCTGAATTTTTTTCTCCCCTTTTTCTAATTTGTTTTTTTTTGAATAATAATGTTCAGTGTCTTCATTGAAAACGACCATTTTCTGTGTGGATATCTTCATCGGGTTGCGTCACGAAACATGAGTAGTGGTAAGAAAAAAGAGCACAAGGCTGTCTCCGCTCTCAGGACTGAAAACATACAGGGAAATTTAACAAAAAAGAACCCCTCAAGGAAGGTTCCTTGATGCTGGTGAGGGGCTCTTGGTCTAGGGAATTGGATCTGTGCTCCAGTTCCCTGAATTAAACCTGAATGCCTTCCACATCCCCCCACAGGCGCTGTATAATCCTATGGGTTTTGCGCCTCCCCCTGGATTATAATAATAATAATAACAAAAAAGGAAGGAAGTGTGATGTAACCATTACTACTACTACTACTACTGTCACTGCCAATGAATCTATTAGGCAATAGCCATTAGCGTTACTTATACACATGGGTATATACCGGTAGCCATTTTTAATCAATATTTATAATTCATTATATGTATTAATACAAGCACACAAGCAGCCTAATATACACTCAATGTCATTCCCCCAAAATGAATTCTTATAGGTTATTGTCCGGAGTAACTGCTTCAGTACACATTATTAATCAAAATTTGAGCTGATATACTTACTGTTAAAGCCTTTATCAGACGCTACGTAATGTATACGTGTCATTATTTTGTCCTTTGGTTGCGGTGTGCTTTCTTCGATGTACTACAGTTACTGTCCCATACTGAGACTATTTTTCGCTGAGACAACTTCTCGAGTGATGGGTCCCTCACTGTGACTGGCACAGACACTCATAGGCCACTACACACACCACAGTAACACTCGACAGCATCCGGGAGTCAGTATATAGGCGGAACAAGTGGATCAGACCTGCGCTTTGGGTGCTCACTGGTTCAACACTACCCCAGCCAACACCTCCATCCCACTCCCCCAACCTGGTAGTGGCGGAGGGAAAAAGAGAGTAGTGGTGGCGGTGGAGATATGAAAATGAAAATGTTTATTTCCTTGCAAAACTTACAACGTGTGGTTTACATATTATAAAATATTAATTACAAAAAACGGCCTCTAGCATGCCTAGGCATTTCGGGCGTTTATGTATTTGTTACTTCATATTCTTTAATGCATTCGCATTGCGCGGCTATGACTATTCTGCATTCATATTGTTGTAGGCAACAAAACTAGTTACTTCGCACAGTTCGGATATCCTAATCTATGATTTTTACAAGGTTAAAGCAGAAACTAAGTTTAACAACACATCGCATAGAATAGTTTATCATACTGATTTCGTTGCAATATCTTCAATTTCAGTCTGAATCCTTCCAGCAGGTCTAGTTTCTTTCACACAGGCACCACCACATAACAGAATGGCATATTATTATAAAAATCACAATGCTAATGTTTCCAGGACAGGCTCACAACACAACTGCAGAATGCATACTTGGGCATTCACTTTATGCAACAACATTTTGATAACACAAGGGAGGGACAGACACCTGGGAAGCAGGAACAGTACTGCATAGCAGAATAACAATGACAGGACACTACCACAGCCTAATTCATGATGAGAGGGCACCACCGCAGCATAATACATAACAGGACACTACTGCAGCATGATACATGATGACAGGACACTACCACAGCATGATACATGATGACAGGACACTACCACAGCATGATACATGATGACAGGACACTACCACAGCATGATACATGTCAGGACACTACCACAGCACGATACATGATGTCAGGACACTACCACAGCATGATACATGATGACAGGGCACCACTGCAGCATAATACATAACAGGACACTACTGTAGCATAATACATAACAGGACACTACTGCAGCATGATACATAATGACAGGACACTACCACAGCATGATACATGATGACAGGACACTACCACAGCATGATACATGTCAGGACACTACCATACCATGATACATGATGACAGGGCACCACTGCAGCATAATACATAACAGGACACTACTGCAGCATGATATATGATGACAGGACACTACCACAGCCTAATTCATGATGACAGGGCACCACTGCAGCATAATACATAACAGGACACTACTGCAGCATGATATATGATGACAGGACATTACCACAGCATGATACATGTCAGGACACTACCACAGCATGATACATGTCAGGACACTACCACAGCATGATACATGATGACAGGGCACCACTGCAGCATAATACATAACAGGACACTACTGCAGCATGATATATGATGACAGGACATTACCACAGCATGATACATGTCAGGACACTACCACAGCATGATACATGTCAGGACACTACCACAGCATGATACATGATGACAGGGCACCACTGCAGCATAATACATAACAGGACACTACTGCAGCATGATATATGATGACAGGACACTACCACAGCATGATATATGTCAGGACACTACCACAGTATAATACATGATGACAGGACAATGCCACAGCATATATTCAGTACTATTTGTGGTATACAATACCGATAAGTTGAATAATAAGACATCTATAACACTTAGGTATTTTTATTACCGAAATGTTTCACTTGCACAACAGGCATCTTCAGTTGTATATACACGAATGTAACAATTTCCAGTGTTATATTCGCCTGTTGTGGAAAGTTTCGACAATAAAAATGCCCAAGCGTTAAACGTGTGTCTTATTCTTCATATATTCAGTACGTTTACAGGGTAAAATGGGATATTATCAGTTATTTCAGGTGACTGAGAAAGGGTATAAACCATCGTTATGCAGGTTACCGCGAAGATTAAGAATTATTTAGACATGGGATCCTTGCAGGGATAACTTAAACGTCCACAGTGTAAAACTGAAATCGTATATTAGTAAAATTACCGACACTGTATCACGTAAAAGGGCACAAGAACAGCCACTGATAAGTGCATTGTGGCTTTATCAAGCCAGTATTTATTGGCATGGTGAAAATCTTAAAAGGGAAACGTAACCATTTCTCATTAGTTTCTCGTGTGTTTTTGTACCTAACATTTGAACAGTTAGTATTAGATTCGAGTAGTTACTTAGGATAACGAGGTACAAATTACACGTAATCTTGAATACTCCAAATGTAAACAATATTCTCCCATCAATTATTCCGGAATACGTCCCTTCAAAGATGCTGTGATGCCGGTAAAGGGCTCTTGATCCTAAAAATTTAAGCTACCCTCCCTTTCCTTGGATCGAATCTGATTGCCTCCCATTCTCAGGCGCTGTATGACCCCTACGGGTTTAGTGTTCCCCAATGAATGCAATAATAGTAATGTGATACTCTGGAATACTTGGATATCCTAGGTAGAGCAAGCTAGCAGGTTTCACATTATAATCATGTGGGAGCTCTAAATATGTAGGGATTATACAGTGCTTGTAGGGGGGGGGGAATGATGGAAGGTATTTAGGATCAGTTCAGGGAATGGAGCACAGATCCAATTCCTTAGATCAAGAGGTCCTCACCAGCGTCAAGGAACCGCCCTTGAAGGGTGCAGGATTCACTACCTGGCACATGAGAGATCATTCGAGATATTGGAAAAAGATTATGTATTAAAAATTAGACCAACTGGAAATCTGCAGTTATTTTGCCCATTTTAGAACACTTATGAGTAGTGTAACTCTCCATCCGAAGTCTGCCAGCGCCAGCTAGCAGACTTTACAACCCAGGGTATGACAAACCATACTGTGTGATGGGTATACACCTGCTCAATATGGTGTGGTTTTTTGAGAATGAGACTGAAAAGGGTACATCAGAAATGTATAGCACATGCTATGAAACCTTCCCGCGCTCTATTCAATTTTGGATGTAATTTCCCATTCACATTCATAAAAAATCGCACTATATAAGAGAGCTTACTGTATTTTTATGTGAAACAAATAACAGAACAAGTCAGATATGTAATGGAAGGATTACCAACAAGTACGGTAATAGGACTATTCGCAAAAAAAGCCTTTATTTTAAAGACAACGTTTCGCTTACACTAACAGCTTTATCCAGTCAATGACGATACCACTGCAGCTGTCCCCAGCCCTCACCCATGAACAGGTGCGCAGGGTCCCTCGCCTCTCTCTCCAAACACTTGCGCGTGACGGTATATTCATTCACTTACAACGATATCTCTCAGTGCATAATAATAATTATTATTACAAGGAAACTTAATTTATAACGTTTTGCCCACTCACTGGTCTTTATAAACGTTCCTTACAACTGCGTTTGTGTCTATTTACCATGCAATATGCAACTCACTTCGACAACTTGTACAGAAGTTAGTTTAATTAGTTTAATATGTTTATTATGCACCCCATACCCATCCTGTGGGCGGTAGTCAAAAGATTACAGAGGTACATAATTGGTCCAGGGACTGGACCCCAAAGTTTTGATAGCTGAGCAAGTTACAGAGGTAATGAACTCATAATTTACAAAGGTAATGAACTCACGATTTACAAAGGTAATGAACTCCAGGTAGGTCTAGTCACAATTATGACAAGTTACAAAGGTATTTACAGATTACAGAGGTACGTAATGGGTCCAGGGACTGGGCTCCAAAGTTTGATAGCTGAACTAGGTACAAAGGTAATGAATCCTGTAAGAAACTGCGTTTTTCAGCATTTTCTGTATCCATTCAATTAACAAAAACGAACTGTACAAGTAATATTCAGTGCATACATAATATGCATTCCCTTCAGGACGGAGAATACAAACACCTAGTGGCAGGTGTTTTGAGAAAACGAGGACACCTGTTGCATCATCCCAAGTGTCGTAGAGGTAAAAGCTGTAGGATGCACCTGTACTAGTGCAGCTGGGGGAACTGCAACACTAGAACCTGCTAAAACACGGTGCCAGGTCGTACCAAATTTTATTTACCTGATCAGACCGTGGCATTATTATACTTCCCTGTAAAGTTATGCTAAATTACACCGTTACTGTGCTGGGTCGCACCATAATTGTCAGGTCACACATTATCACTACTGTGTCACGTATAAGGGTCTTGTTTACAGGATTCAACGTTTTTGGTTACGTTTGGAGATAATATCTTGATTGAAGTCCAATCTCTTAAGTGTTTGGTCCCTAAGTCTTGGAGGATAATATTAAGGATCCCGGTTTTGGGAGAACAAGTTTTTATAAGAAAAAACACTAAGCCCGAATGGGTTATACAGTGCTAATGTCATGTTAGAGATTCACTAATCACAACCATATTTAGTAATATAATAACGTTACTAGATCTACTAGGTCTAAACTATATCAAGATGTAGCCAATAGGATTATGCTGGTTCACAGCCATGAGTTAACTAAAAAAAATAGTATCACAGAAAAATAAAATTGTTCAAAATTACAAGCTCCGAGTCTCATACAGCGCAAAGGGAGAGTAATTTCCAATTCCTGAGATCAAGAGCCCCTCACCGGCGTCAAGGAACCTCCTTTAACATTTATTGGCCTCTCTCTCTGTGTACTCATTGTTCCCTTGCTTTTCGCTGGAGGTATCTTGCACAGTTTGCCAAGCTGCTTGTGTTAAAAAGCAGTGATTTCGGTGTGCAGGTTTGGAACCAATCCCTCCAGTATCTTTCAGGTATAGATTATGATTTATCTTTTCCACTACATTCTATGGAATGCAGCTCTAGGGATTTCAAGCACTTCCCAGTAATTTAAGTGTTTGACCGAGTTTATACGAGCTGTGAAGCTTTTATTTATATTTTCCAGCTGAATAATTCTGACTGCCTGGGGAGAGGGGGGGGGGGTCGGCGTTAGTATACAGTAATATTCCAGCCTAGAGAATGAGTTTACATGCTTTAGTCCTTATTTTAGGTATTAATGTATCACTGACTAGTGTACAGGTCACATGAAGTAACCACTAGATAGCGAAATTTCCAAAATAAAAATTACCAAATGTTCCCCCCCCCACGTGTCTCAATTATCAACTTATC